TATATCCAGCAGCGATTTTCAAACCTCATGCAGAATAGAGAGGATGTGCTCCCACGACTTCCTATGCCCCCCGATGGTCGACCGTCCCTGAAGAGACAGGAAGCCATTCCAGATGCCGCCAGCCTGCAGTACAGTTGGTTCGATCGCCCGATGCTAGTCTCGAAGCCTGGGTCAGCTATATCAGCCGGCAATCCCCTCCCCGGGGTAGCACCTCCAGCCCCGACTTTCGAAGCAACCTCTCCCTCCTATGGTGAGTACAAATGGATATGGTTCGTCGTCATCATCTTGCTCCTAGCAATGTTCCTTTGTCTATTCCTGTATGCGTTCAAGATTCTAAAGTAAGAAGTGTTTGTGTGAATTTGAGGATACTTTCAACCTTGACCAACGGCAAATCACCCCTTCCTCTCAACCTTAGCTTAGGCATGGACAAAGGATCCAAGCCAAGCTCAAATGTGGTCAATATTTCTTTGGTAGTCTAAGTTTCTTGGTTGTCCAATGAGTTTTCTTTGCCAGGGTTAGCACCGAAAGATTTGCGCCGCCTCTGCTCACATTCTTCATGATACATCCCTTGCATCCTTGCATTCCTGTTCCCCATACTTGCTTGCGTGCTATATACCTCGCAAGAGGCTGATTGCTCCGTGTATACACTCGACGTACGGTGATGATGATCCCGGAAAAGCCGCTAATCCCGCTCCGATACCAGGCCCCTCAGATGGGGATACTGAAACTCACGCCGAGGTGGCTGACGAGGGCGGCCTGAATTCAACACAACAATGTAAGGGCAAAAGCACAGCAACAGTTCTTTATACCAGCTTGGCGTACCGTGATTTTGTATCCATCTGACTAACCAAGCCACCGGCAAACTTTTGGCAGCCCTGTTGAGCAATCAAGAAAACATTCCCAAATCCAAGCTAACAGGCCCGATACCCACCACCCAGACCGGCCAGCAAGTCCCAAAGGAAGCAGCAGCAGCAGCACCACCACCACCACCACCAGAGGGACCAAATCCGATCCCCACCAACCAAGCCGGGCAGCAAGTCTCCAACCCACCACCAGCCCCGGAGCAGGAGGGGGAGGAGGATAAAGAGGAGGAGGAAATTGAGGAAGAACCAACAAGATCAAATTCCAGCGCCGACACTAGTGTCATTGACAAGGGAACATCGCCGTGGCACAACCCCAAGTACACGGATCAGCTGGTCCAGGAAGCGGCCGACAAGCTCCTGAAGAATGCCGAAGCGTACTGGCCGCCCGAGCGGATCCATCGCCGGATGAGGATGTGGTCCGGCGTCGAGATCCGCGATCGCACCACGATCGGCCTCGAGGGCCAGATCGACCAGCTGCCGCCGTTCCCGGGCAAGTTCGATCCTGCAGCGGATGCGGTGAGGACGCTGAAGAGGAAGCGCGGGAGGGCGCCGAAAGCTGCTGCTGCTGCTGCTGCTGCTGCTGCTGCTGCTGCTGCTGCTGCTAGGGCGGCGGGGGCGGCAGCGGATGGTTCGAAGCAGGCGGCTCCTGGAGATGGAGATAGGGATGGGGATGGGGATGGGGATGGGGATGGGGATGGGGATGGGGATGAGGATCAGGCCCCGCAAGCTGCTGCGAAGGGGGCTCCGAAGCGCGATGCTTTCTTCATTAATACGAGAACTCACGGGAGTTCCGCGAAGACGACGCGGAGGTGTCGCAGGAGCAAGAGGATTAGTCGTATGAGTAAGAACAAGAAGAAGAAGAAGAAGTAGTTTGCTGGAGTCATGTCGCTGGCGGATGTGGTTCGTGAGGGGGATTGGGGAAGTTTGATGCGGAGATTCGAGATGGTAGTAGCCTGCTGAAGGACGAAAAAGGTGGTGGGTTGCTGATATGTTTCAAATATGTCTTGTCTCTTGTATGTATCTATACTTGGTTCGCTTGCTATCATTGGGTTTAGCAGTGGTATATAACCTTCTCGTGATGGCTCTGTAGGCATCAGAATTGGAAGCCGTGCACTGTATATGTAAGTAATTGGGAGCAAACTGGTAATCGATATGTTGATTTCAAAGTAAGTGGAGAATGGAGACTTCTGATGCTGTACACTTCTATATACAGGACCTGATATACAACCATGACATCGGGAGTCAACTTCCTAAAACTCACAGCTCCAACACTCAGACACCACATCCCCATACCTCCGCAACAGACCCTCCAGTACCGGCGCTACTGCCTGTGATCCGCCGATGGTCACCTCTAACGACAAGAGCCCTTTGACGAGAACATCGACCCGCTTCTGCCAGACGCTATCATCTTCATCATCGTCACCACCACCACCAATAATGCCGGCTCGATAGGCTGACCCTGACCCTGAACCTCCGAGCCAAAGCTCAATACTGGTCTCGATCGCCAGACGCAAGGCCGTGACCATAAGCGTCGGGGTGATATGATACGCGGTGAGAGGGAGGTCCGCGCTCAATCCGTTTTGCAGGTTGAAGGTGTCGTGTGCGACAGGGTGGGTGAGAGAGCATCCTATCGCTTGGGCGATGGAGATTACGGCGGTCTCTTGGAGAGTGCGGATCTGTGATTCTGTGATGGGGAGTAGTGAGGAAGGGGAGTCGTGGTTGAAGGAGGGGTGGTGGAGGATGGAGGTTAAGGTTTGGGCGAAAATCAGGGTTCCGAGGTCCCAGAAGGTTAGGACGGACACTGATAAGAGAAAAAGGGCAGGTTAGTTGGGTCGGTTGTCTGGTGGGGCGAAGGTTCAGGGTAGATAGAGCGCAGGGGCTGCGGTGTGTGGGTAGCTGGGGTAGAGGGGCTTGTTTGGTAGTTTCAATGCTCGGTGACATACATGCGTAGATCTTGGACTCGGTGGAGAGATGGCCGTAGTTCTCCATGCAATGAGACATGAAAGGGCGGAGGGTGTGGTTATAGTCGTCTACCGCGGTCATGGTCGACGCTATGATTACCCATGATGCGGGAGGAAGTGCGTGTTTGTTGTTAGGGGTGCCGTTGGGTGAGATGAGATCCCTGACTTTGATCATCATTCGCCAAATGGAAAAGGCTCCTGCTACAGCAGTGCGATAGATCCGTGGGATACTAGCATCGAGATCGCTGGGGTAGGTATGGCTGGTTGATGGCGGTAGTGTCGAATTATTCTCCAGGGATACTGTGATCGTTTCAGACGAGTTGAGAAGATATTGTGTGTGAATGACTGAAGCTAACCTTTCCTGTGACCAAGCAGCTCAGGGAGCTTGCACTGATGATCTGTGAAAAGAGCGGCCCCAATGTCCCGGATATAACCTCCCCAGCGGATGATGTCTAGACTCGAATGTAAAAAGGTCCCGTAAAGTGATGTGGGCCCCAGTTGACGGCAATACTTCCGGACGAGATCATCCAGACGGGACAGCTTCTGCAGCCCGATATCAAGAAATTCGTGCACCCTGACAGTCGTTCCGTCTGGCCTGCCGTATGCGTGGGAAGGAATGACGATACCATCGAAGAGAAGAATGGCACACACCACCCGAAATGACGGGACTGGCAAACTTCCCTGGATAAGTGACCGTGCCTCTATCCAGGAGTCATGGAAAGTGTCAATGAGAGCATCACGGCCTGCGTGCTGCCCTGCAGGTGACACCCCCTCCGATGTGGGCAGCCATTGAAGGGAAAACACTCGAAGCACTGCTTTCAGAACCGTATCTGACTGTTTCCGAGCTGCGATGCTTAGTTTGTTGCCGTAGAGGTGACTAAAATGATCCAGGAACCGCACAGCGCCCAGCATAGTCATTCTAGGGTGTCGAATACCCCGAGTCTCTGACAGTTGAGAGGATAGTTGCTTGTTGGCGCCTCCTAGAGCTTGTCATGAGTCTCGATAGGTTCTGAGATGTTAAGACTGTGAGCACAGCTTACCAAGTTCTGCCTGCTCTGAAAATCTACTTTCTAGATAATAGGGATGACCCGATGCAGAAAGGTTGCACTCATAATCTATAAACCTTGACGCCGAATCCCTTACGATGGTATTGTAGATCGAAGCAAGACACTCGTCGAGCACCGTCGCTTCCAGCTTTGAATTCAACAGGCGTATCGGGCTATTCCTACTCCTGCCCACGAGCATTGACTGGGGGTTGGTTGACAGAGACTGCTGTTCTGCCCGTGAAGCTGCCGACAGAGAAGGTAAAAATGGCTCACCAAGCGCTTCTGTTGCCCTTGAAGAGTCCAGTGATGAGGCTGAGAACGGGTCGTATACATCGGTGCTGGTGCTCTGAGACAGCTCAATATCGAAATTGAGCCACGATGCGAAGTCTTCATCGCTAGTGCCAGTATTAACCTCAAAACCATCTCCCAGGCAATTGATCAGTGTCTCATCCCTTTGATTGAAAACCTGCGACTGGTTGAGGTGCAGTAGCTGTGCGCCAACACCTGCTGGGTCTTTGCGTTTCCTCGGCCTTGAAGAGACAGACTTAATAAAGTCAAAGGTACAGTGATGGTTCAATCGCTTGCAGTTGGTACATATAGCAGCGGATTCGTCATCAGTAAGGCACAGTAAGACACATCGCCGCTTGGAGCGACGGCATGGATCACAGCTTGTGTTCTGGCGACGCCGAGCAGTGGGAAATGACGGTTTCACCACCCTCGAAACTTGCATGTGGGACATTCGGACCGGAATCTCCAAGGAGACGCAGGAATCTTCATGAGCTCATTCTTGAGTATAGAAGGTATAGAAGTTCGCCGACACGAGTAGGATGAAATGATTATAAGCAATATAAGGATTCAAGTTTGGAGCTGGACCTGCATCATAGCTATAGATCCCAGAAGGCAAGCGACTGACTGCCCTTTCGGGTAAAACCGGCGGCGATTTCTTGCCTCGCTGACTCACTGTTAAGTCAGCTGATTCTGTCGCTTGGTGACCAATAAGAGCCTATATCAGCAACTAATCCATGAATTCTACTTTCCAATGTGCATCAGTATCGATGTGACGAGGTTATCACATTTCAGATCCACGAGTATGGGTAGCTCAATGACCAATAACATATCCTATTATACAGGCAGAAACCATCGCAGAAACAGCTTAGATATCCTCCCCAGCAGCCCTGCGGACGCAATCCACGATGAACTGTGGGTTGCTCAAGAACGGGGAGTGTCCTTCTTGACACCGTTCAACCTGCAGCGCTCCCTCACTTTGAGCGATCATCCGCTCTTGCACAGAAAGAGGCAAAGCCCTATCATTCTCGCAGACAATATACGTACTGGGAATTTCGCGATAGGCCGTGTAAGTCACTGGCACGGACAGCGGGCCGACGGGGTACGAGCCTAGCAGATCAAGCGCTTCCTCCACGTCGGCAGGGTCGCATCGATTATAGAAGACCTCGCGCGCTGCTTCCCTGTCCACGATCATCGCTCCATCCTATATTATTATGAGATATGGTCAGCCAAGCGGGCCATTTTGCGACGACGGAACGAGAACAATAATCACACCTCAGTGAAGCGCATCCCACCATGCTTCGCTACATACTCCTGCCGCTGCCGTTCGAGCTCCTCTTCTTCGGGCGTCTGAGGTTTGATTTGCCCGACGTGGTTCTGGCCTTCTGGCAGTACCATGGCAGCCATATACATCAGCTGGAGAACACCACCTTTGAGGCCTTCACTTTCGCGGGTGCTCTTGCTCAAGCCCTTGACTGCTTCTGACATGGGGATTCCGCCAAAAGAATGAGCCACGGTGATTACGTCCTGGCCTGCGTCAAGGTAGCCCAGGATGACCTTGCGGATGGCCTCTGCATCGGTGGCCCAGCTGCTGAGGGGAGGGCTGGAGTCCACGGAGGGCAGTGTCACACCTACTGCCTGGTAATTGAATTTCGCCAGCCCGTCGACTAGACGCCGGTAGTGCTGCGGCCGATGCCAGGAGCCTGGGACAATGACAATAGCTGGTCTGATCATATCGCTGATGTCGGTGCAGGAGGATGATAAAATGAAGCAGGAAATGCCAGTATTTTTGCGAGGGAATGGGGTGATTGGGGCAGATCTCAGAGACACTAGTTCATGCTGCAGTGGTTTGATAGAGTCTGAGCCATGAAGACGGGAGGTAGGAACCATGAATTTATACTGCATAGAAGTTTGAAGTGAGAGATCTGCACGATTCTCGGAGCCGCAACAGCAGATACAATAATGGTGTCCGAGGTGTGTACAATATAGTCCTGTACAGTCCTCAGAAATCCTCCCCGCATTAGTTCCCATCGGCTCCGAACTTCTATAACCAGAATACGGATCCGCAGACCGAATCGAATATCGGTTCCGACGCGAAGTGCCTTTTAACGAATCAGAAACTGAGACTTCTAGTGACGAGATTTCTGCTATTAGGCTAGCCACTGTCTTCAGAGTTATTTATGATATTCCAGTTCCATGTCTTTTCATCCACTTATAATGACAGCTTGAGCAGTTGCCTTGTACAGTGTATAGATGTGAAGTTGCGGGTGGAATAGAGGTTCCGTTTTTCATGGTCTGGACCGGGATCGGTTTGTTAGTTCAAGTATGAAAAGGCGCGCTTCAATCCTATTGAAACTCGAGTATATTGCCAATGCTCAAGCTACAAGAGTTGGTGTCATAATTTGTCCTACTTACTGTAAGCCAGTTGGCAGGAAAGAGGGTCAATGCCGCGGCGGACAAAGAAAGAGCCTTGAAAAGGATAAAGCGGCCAATGCAAACAAGACAAACCGCGACCCGCGATGGCTTCATCGCCCGGCGCTCAATGAAAGCGACAACATCCGACCGACTGGCACCAGGTCCAAAATCCTGCGCCAGGTGTGTCTAATCCAGCGGACTTGTCTGATCGTGCCATTAACTCGCTATACTTAGACTGTCTCTCCCATTAACCTCTCGTATCGATGACTTGATTGGAGCATCTTGCCGTCCTCGCGACACTACCATCTCACTTATACAGCCGAAGCTCTCCCCAAGGAGCGCGTGACGAAATCCGGTCAAGATGTTCACCTTCACCCCTTTGCTCGGTGCTCAGTCATCCGCATCGAAGGCATCGCAGTCGATATTGCAGCTTGAGGGAGGGATAAAAATCCTTGTGGATGTCGGCTGGGATGACACTTTCGATCCCCTTGACCTGCAGGAGCTGGAAAAGTGAGCCATACTTGTTCCTTGAGATACTCTGAGCTCTCTGATGAAAACAATCCCCTCTAATCATACATATCCTATACAATAGACACGTTCCTACAATATCGTTGATCCTCTTAACCCACGCGACCCCCGCACACATCGGTGCCTTTGCCCACTGCTGCAAGACCTTCCCTTCGTTCACTAAGATCCCCGTCTACGCCACGAGTCCCGTCATTGCCCTCGGTCGCACACTTCTTCAAGACCTATATGCATCCTCGCCTCTGGCTGCGACATTTCTACCCGAATCCCCGATCTCGGAATCTGGAGCATCCACTTCCGCCGCGTCGGCCGCAGCATCCGTCGTCGAAGGCGACGGAAGCCCCGAGGCTGCACACGCAGGTCGCATCTTGCTCCAACCCCCCACCGCCGAAGACATCGCGCGCTACTTCTCGCTGATTCATCCATTAAAATACTCGCAACCTCACCAACCGCTCCGTTCCCCTTGGTCCCCGCCTCTGGACGGCCTGACCTTGACTGCTTACAATGCTGGACACACCGTGGGTGGCACGATATGGCATATCCAACATGGGATGGAATCAATCGTCTACGCGGTCGACTGGAACCAGGCCCGCGAGAGTGTCGTGGCGGGAGCGGCGTGGTTCGGCGGCTCGGGGGCAAGCGGGACGGAGGTTATCGAGCAGCTGCGCAAGCCAACAGCGCTCGTGTGCAGTACCCGCGGAGGCGAGAAGTTCGCTCTCCCTGGCGGACGGAAGAAGCGCGACGACCTGCTCCTCGACATGATTCGGAGCACGGTTGCCAAGGGCGGCACGGTCTTGATCCCGACGGATACTAGTGCTCGTGTTCTGGAGCTGGTCTATGCGCTGGAGCACGCCTGGCGCGATGCAGCGGGCACTGGTCAGGGCGACGATGTGCTGCGAACGGCAGGATTGTACATGGCGGGCAAGAAGGCCAACACAACCATGAGACTTGCGAGGAGCATGCTGGAATGGATGGATGAGAACATAGTGCGCGAGTTCGAAGCTGCGGAAGGGGTTGATGCGACAACGGGCCAGGCGCATTCGAACAACGACGGTCCGCGGTCCGGAGGACAAAACAAGACCGAGGGCAAAGGGGTGGGACCGTTCACATTCAAGCACCTCAAGATCATCGAAAAGAGGAAGCGACTCGAGAAGATCCTCACCGACCAGACACCAAAGGTAATTCTGGCCTCTGATACATCGCTGGATTGGGGATTCGCAAAGGAGTCGCTCCGCCTGGTAGCCGACAGCGCCAACAACCTGCTGCTTCTTACTGAGCCTCTACACAAGGAGAAAGTTTCCAGTAATCATCGGGAGAACCGTCACAGGAAGACTCTTGGCGGCATGATCTGGGAATGGTACGAAGAAAGGAAGGATGGGGTTGCACTTGAGAAGGCCGCCGACGGCGAGATGCTGGAGCAGGTGCACAGTGGTGGAAGAGAGCTCTCATGGTCCGAGGTGCGCCGTGCGCCTCTCGACGCTGGTGAGCAAATGCTTTACCAACAGTACCTCGCTACAAAGAGAGAGCTGGAAGATGCCACTCAAACAGGAGGGCAGGAGAACACCGACCCTGCCGCAGACGTACTTGACGACCAATCTAGTTCGTCATCAGAAGACTCGGAGACCGAGCAGCAGGGAAGGGTATTGACCCTGTCGACAACCTTAGCTCATGGTAACCGCAGCAAGCTGGGGCTCAGGGATGAAGATCTTGGTGTCAACATCCTCTTACGACGGAAGAACGTCTACGACTACGACGTCCGAGGCAAAAAGGGCCGCGAGCGGATGTTCCCCTACGTGGCTCCTCGGAAGCGGGGTGATGAGTATGGTGAATTCATCAGACCCGAGGAATATCTTCGGGCAGAGGAGCGCGAGGAAGCTGATATGCAGCAACGTCGGACCGACTCCCAAATGAGATTAGGACAAAAGCGACGATGGGACGAAAGCGGACCGAATGGACGCCGTTTGTCTAGCAGTGGTGGCAAGCGCCACCAAGCACAAGGCGAGGCCTCGAAGAAGGATATCAGCACGGCGGATGAGCTGAGCGTTATGGAAGACGGCGAGGCCGCTGATGCTGCTGCCTCTTCTGACGATGAGCCGGAAGGTCAGGCGTTTGAAGGGCCGGCCAAGGTCGTCTTCGAGAAGGCGAGCCTGACCATCAAAGCGCGCCTCGCGTTTGTGGACTTCACCGGTCTGCATGACAAGCGCAGTCTAGAGATGCTCATCCCACTAATTCAACCCCGAAAGCTGATCCTGGTCGGAGGCATGAAACAGGAAACGACGGCCCTGGCCGACGAATGCCAGAAGCTCCTTGCAGCTAAGGTCGACGTGGACGTCCCCGCATCCGCGGACTCGGCGGTGATTTTCACTCCGGTGAATGGAGAGACAGTCGACGCCAGTGTTGACACGAACGCTTGGATGGTCAAGCTGAGCAACCACCTATTCCGACGATTGAAGTGGCAGCATGTACGCAGCCTGGGTGTGGTCACCTTGACGGGACAGCTTCGGGGCCCTGAGTCTCAGCCTCAGCCCGCAACAGCAGAACAGGATCAGGAGGGCCCGCACAAGAAGCAGAAGGTGTTGCCGCAGGAGGAGACGAATCCTGTCACGGATTCTGAAGCCGAGTCGACAAAGCAGCAGCAGCAGCAGCAGCCACCGCCACCGCCGCCGCCGACTGACAAATCCGATATTTACCCCTTGCTTGATGTTCTGCCGGCCAACATGGCGGCGGGAACGCGATCTATGACCCGGCCGCTCCACGTGGGCGACCTCCGTTTGGCGGATTTACGAAAGCTCATGCAGGGGGCCGGGCACACCGCGGAGTTCAGGGGGGAGGGAACGCTGTTGATCGATGGGATGGTGGCCGTGCGCAAGTCGGCGACGGGCCGGATTGAAATCGAGGCATCGGCGCAGTCAGCAGCGATGGTCCCCGGGCGCAAAGGGGCGGGTAGTTTCCTGGCTGTGAAGCAGAAGATCTATGAGGGACTGGCAGTGGTCTCGGGGAGTTGATTGTTGTTTCTGGTCGGGATGCGAATCTGTACAATTTTGTGGATGTGTGTGTGTATCTGTGCAAGACGAGCTTTGATCTAATCTATCATGAGATTTGAGGAGTGCTCGGACATCTCCGTGTAGCTAATGCATGCATGTCGTCTAAGCAATATGCATGATTGCTTGTTCTTACGGTACTTCAATATAGGTCTTTTTGACTACGCAACGACTATATCCCTAAGTACTGGTGCTTGAATCCCAAGTCTCAGAAAGTTCCGAGACAGATGACTACCAACACCTGCTACTATTCATCCCGATCCAGCCCAGCCGCCTTACAACTCTTCATTCACCTCATCACCCTTGTTGTATAGGATAATCCGTGACCAAACCCGCAACCCAACCTTCTCTCTCCCCTCTCCTTGACAGCCTATGACCTGTAACCTGCAACCTGCATTTGCAACTCACAACCAATATGACTCGTATACCCAATCCCAATCAATAGTACACGTCACATCGTCCACCACAACCACAACCAAGCCACAGGAACAGCAGCGACTATTGCCATGCATTATCGAAGTACGGAGTAACTATTTCAATAACCCTCCTCACTACGGACTAGATCGTATACACCACACCCATCCAACTCCATAACAAAATAAACCCGACATGTACAGTAGTTACGTCGTAGAATCTATTTCCAGGTGCGGCCATTTACATCGCCTCCCCCCCTTTTCTCCTTTCTGAATACAAAGCAAGCCAAGTGCACAGCTCTCTCTTTTTATCTCTATAAATGGATACGGAGGGTCTATTGTCTCGGGGTGAGGTGTCGATCATTGGTTGGGATTTTGAGTATTCGATGCTCTAGTACTACCTGCGTGACTGACTACTGGTTACAGCTGTTCTCGGGGAAGAAAGGTGGCTGGCTGGCTGGCTGGCCTGGGTTGCTGGATGGAAGTAATTGACTGTGAATTGTGGTGAGGTGAGGAGTGGCTGAGGCAGTTCTTTGGTGGTGGTTTCTTTGTGTGGGTGGGTTAGTGTTTCAGGTGGTTGTTTCATCGGTGAGGGAGGGTGTGTTCGGTATCGATTGGGGGGGTTTGTCAGTGTCTTGGGGGTTACTGAACAGTATACCTACAATATCAACTGTATAGGGGGTGGGGTTGGATAGTTCAATAGGTGGGTAGTTGGATAATAAATTGGATGACAAGCGATAGGTAACTTAACTGCCGTATAAACACTTGATTCTCAAGTCTGGTATACAAATGCCAGAAGTCTCTCCATCCTCTTTCTGAGAGACAAATTCGACAATAGAACTAGAGCAAGCTACCACTGAGTAATTAGTCTCAGAGGATCCGCGAGAAGCGGAATAAGCAAGGGCGTCACGGCCGGATTCTCAAAACCCATCCATCACCCTATACTCTTGGGTGTCCACCGGCCGGTCCCCAGCACCGCAGATATGATTCAGTGGACTGTATACCATCCCTCCACGAAAGCCCTAATATCAAACACGTCACATGTACACCACCACTCCGCACATCGTCCATCAAGGGCTTCAGCAACTATGGGAAAGCTTAATTCTAACGGAAACTGGAGACTGGAGACTGGAGACTGGAGACTGGAGTCCGGGAACTTGAAACCGCGGCAGTTTCACATGATGATATGACAGGAACCATCTACCTACAGTACACAATCATGCGCGCAGCCATGTGCATTATCTTCCGCCGTTGAACAGAGATGGAGGACTGTACAGATCTACTCCACACCGACCAGACCACCAATCCGATTATCTTGGATAGAATCCAGTCTGGAGTATGGGCACGGAGTACGTCTTCTATTCCGGTTCCCAGTCCAAGGGGCAGGGTTTCTGAGAAAAACCCGGATATACTGGCGTACTCAGTGCTCATGTGAGGCCGCAGTGTATAGGCCGGTTAGTAATATGCACCACTAACTTCCTCCTCCCACTACTGGCATTCCTGGGGGTCACGCCTCAATCTTTTCCCACGAGTTCCAGCACTTGACAAACCAGTCGGGTAATTTGCTCCACTACGACTTCCGATGGGTGATGGTGGTGGTGGTGGTGGTGGTGGCCAGTCGCTATGAGTCTACTGTATACATAAGCAGAATCAGCCGAAGATCCATCAGAAGTTGCCACACCAGAAGTCGTTCGGTTCATGCTCTCAGGCAAAAGCCCCAGAATTCAGCCATATCCCGAACCTTGGAACGGGTGCCAACCTGACAGTGTCAGGGTTCACAGAATGAAATCTGTGATTCGTTTCTCGGAAGATGGCGGGATTGTGATGGTTACGCGGGATCGGGGAGGAGGGGTTGGAAGCCCACATTTTACACTGTTAGCCTGTACACTGTACACTCCAGCATGCTGGTTTATCTAATTCTGCCCAGTTTTTGCCAAAGAAACTTGATTGAGTTACAGTACTCGATAGACAACTATCAAGTCATTGGCTTGATTAAGACTGCAGTGATAAGTTGCGGTGGCTACTAGGTACGTCAAGAAATCAACCGCCTTGGACCAGTGGGCCAGTGACCAGTGACCATGCCCCAGTGCCTGACTAATCCCCAATCCAACAATGGGGCACGAATGACAATGGACCCTGCAATAGAGTTAAGCCCCGATTCGTGGATGGCCATCGGCTGCAGTGGAAATAATTGATCAATGAATCTGAGCCAGCGAAAACTGCGTGGCCATCGTGTGGGCGGCTGTAAGATCCACTACGCTGGTAAAGGCTCACTGACTGACCTGCTTAGTTTCTGTCTCTCTCTCTTTCTCTCCTCTTCCTCCGACAACACAACACAACCACAGAACCACAGGACCGCCATCATCACGCGAACAAAGCAAGTTGACACCCCTTCTCAGACTAGAGTATCATCATCTCCCCCGCATCACGCTCCCCAAACAAACCAAGAACAGCAAAGGACTCCGTAGGCCGTCAAAGTCAGGCTTATTTAATCCCCAAACCAGATAGGCAAAAGTGGACCCCCCTCGAATCCTCTTTCCGTCCACCGTCGTCAAAGGCGCAAAGCCCAGGTTGGAACAATAATGAGGCGGGCGGGAGTGAATTGGTCAATGAACCCGATGGAGCGATGGGAGGGGGCCCAGCCCCACTTCTTCTGGATCGAATTCGACTCTAGGTCTTGACGGGACTTGGCTTTTTTTGTCGAGGGTCCAGGCGCGGCGCCGCACAGGCTACAACCCTTGTGGCTTTTTTCTTTTTGAGAGGGGTTTTCTTTTTTGGCTCCTTCTTCCTATTTTTTCCCTCCCTTCTGTCTGTCCCTTTCATCCGCCCACTGCCGCCGGGTTAGCCCCATTGGGTTCTGTGGGATGAGGGATATGGCGTCATAATCGGAATTACTCATATGAGTAATTGAGTTCTCTGCCAGTGTGCTCGACTCCGACGAGGAAAGGAAGGAAGAGGAGGGGACGGAGGGGGGGTTCACTGAACCCCCCTCACCCACACCGGCGGAATCTTCCTCTGCCTCGACAGGGTAGAAGTCAGGTTTTCTTTTGATGTGTGATGATGTTCGTATCCCAAAGTATCAATTCCCCTTAGTGTCATCAATAACAACAACACACCACACCGCAACCTTAATTAACTCCGGCCGGGAGAGCATGTTGTCAAAGTCGTTAGGCTGGAAAGTCTTGCTGCTGTGTGACGAGTACCTGCATAGTACCTGCATCATCTTAGAGATGTTAGCTGTAGATGTATTGATTGGCACTAGCATGGAGAAAGTGTGTACCGGGATATGTGCCGTGTGACTTGTCCGCAACTTGTTTACCCCCAACCAATTCATTGGTTCTTGTTGTCGGTGTGGCTTTCGAAATTTGAGGCACAGAGGGGTATGTCCTGTGTCCTGTTGTTACGTGTCAGTTTTGTGGTCCAGCCACATATCATAAAGAAACAAAAGGACAGGGACAAGGGACAAGGACCAGGGGTTAAAGGATCATACAAAGGGAGAGGAGTGGGAGGGGTTTATGAAGTTTTAGGTTAGTTTATTGGTTTTGGACTTGCGGATTTGTTTGTCTTGTTTCTTCCATGTCAACAGTTGAGTCGATTGGTCTTGCACTGGTTTCATAGTCAATGAGGGATACTGAGGGAGTCAAGACATTGAAAAATTAGTAGATCAAGGAAAGCATTCTCAGTCGCTAGTACCCAGTCGCATTAAGATTACTGTTTTTTGAAGTCAATAATTTACTGTCAAATAGCTTGGTTAACGAAAGCAGTAATCATTCTTTTTGTCTATTGGAGGTCTATCCGTCAATCGTGTGATGTCAAATCACTGCGTACATCATAAAAGACATGAGCGTGGCAACAGCAGGCCGATTTCCTTTGGTTCTCTCATAACAAACTGGGGGGTGGGAATCAAGGGAAAGAAGTCAAAAAAAAAGAGTAAGAACGACCTCGTCCAGAAGCACAGAAGCGTCGTTGGGAGTCGATCTAGCCGACTCCAACTCCACTCGCTGTTTTCAGATAGGCATTGAAGTCAAAGTGGGGACGATGACTACATGGTTGAGCATGTAGAAGAAGTCAAAGAAAGTAAAAAATATTGAGGAGAAGAAAGAAGCAAAGCAAAGCCCCTCGGGCTGCAGTCGTCGTCAAAGCAAGTTGGCAAGTTGGCTTCAGGGTCCTCTTTGACACCTTACGAAGAGAGCCTTAACCCAGGGTAAGGGTGAAGCTGGTGTCAATGGGGCAGCCGTGAGTAGCTTGGTTGTCATCGGGCTGCTGGTAGGCCTCTGCGCAGTTGACGTTGCCAGCAGCACAGGTCACGGTGGGGCAGTTGTCGCCACCCGAGGAGGGAACGACGCTGAAGCCGTATTTGACGAAGTCGGAGTCGGAGCTCAGGTTGATGGAGGACATGTCCCAAAAGATGGTGTCGCCGGACTGGGTGTACTCGAACTGCAGGACGTCGGCCTGGGTCTGGGTGGTGGAGAGCTTGATGGAAATGCCACCGCCGTTGTCGTTGGTTTGCCAGCTGCTGGTGTAGGATCCGCCGCCCGCAGAAAGGGTCTCCATGTTACTGACTCTATCAGAAACAGACCACGCGTAGACGTCGGATCCAATGTTGTTGACAATGGTGACACCACCACCAGTGGTGTTTTGGCGACGGGTGTGAGGGAGGGCCGCAGCGAGACCAGCCACGGAGGCAACGAGAGCAGTCTTGAAGAACATCTTGTAGATGGAAGAGAGAGACAAGCGTGCTGATTGGGATATGATGTCTGAACGATGACGGATGATGCGGGTTTTGAAATCCTTTAAGGATAAGAGAGTGGACTTGGGTAGTAAAGAAGGACGAATCTGCACTGCAGATCTAAGAGAGTGACAGATCAAAAAATCTAAAACAAAACCGTACGAACAAGAGAGTGTCGATGGATGCAGAAAAGAAAGAGTCGATCCGAGACGTGCGATTGAAGGCCATTATATAGACAAATGGGGAGGCAAGTCACCCACGCATCGGCCTTGTCATCGGGCTGAGTGCCTGGCGGTTACGGTGTACCAACCGAACGATGACCCGCGATGGCGCAGGGGTAAAACTTTGTTTGAGCGAAAAAGAGAAGAAAAAAGGCCAAAAAGGAATAAACCCCGAATGAAAAAAAGAGGCAAAGAGGAAAAAGCGAACCAGAAAAGGGTGTGACGTGGATTGGGTCCCTGGGGCTTTTGGAGAGTGGTGGAAGTGGAGAGAGCGAGAGTTCCTGAGCGCCACGAGATACAGTGGGGCTCGAAGACCGTCAAAAGTCAAGACAGAAGGTGGTATTATGCACATAGTACTGAGTACAAGTTACTTGTAGGTAGGTACTGTAGTAGGTACTGTAGCCATTGAGAATGAAAAGCTGACAGGTGCTGCAGCCTGTAAACCTGCCCGTTGCGGTGTATGAGCCGAGCATGGAATACACCGTGCATATACATTGGTAGATACTCCGTATGTCGTCGGCAGTCGGTAGTCTGTTTGTAGTAAGTAGGACAATCCTTCAGCAATATTCAATAGTATCAATTCTCAATACGAAGTGTGACTGGTCATCGGCTGCTTTCTACCTACACTATACAGTACAGCACACAATCACCAGCTGATAGGCATTCGATTCCTCCCATCCATGTGAGTATATCGTACTCCGTACGGGGTAGTGATTGTGCTTGTCATTGTGATTCAATCCCCAAAATAGGCGTCATTCCTACGCATCTTCATTGCATACTTTCTCTTTGCGGCGTTCTTTTTCCTCAGCGTGGTGTGGGGTTGATTCCCATAGCCGTGGTTAGCACCAAAGCATGAAAAGAGAGAGAGAGTGTGTGTGTGCCTAACCAGCCTCATTGCAATGGTAATAATTTTTGCCGTGTCTTGGTCCGGTGGCAAAAAGGGTCGCACCCCACCAGGCAGCGCGTGGCAGTATAACCGCAGCCGACAGACAGCAAACTCCCCCGGTTTGAGGCCCTGAACCAAAATCTCGGGTTTCTTCCTTTCTCGCTTTGCCTTCGGGACTCAAAGAATGGGTACAGAAGGTGATCTTTACCATGGCTCAGTCTGCAAAAGTCTTTGCCTTGCGGCTGACAGGGAAACAATTTGGGTCTCCCGAACTTCATCTTTGTCGGCTGTCTCTTTTTGTTCTTCTTCCTTCTTCGAATGAATGAGGTTCCCCATTGTCGATGCCAAGTTCCCAAGGCCCCCCTCAAAAGTGGAACCTAGGCTTTTTTTGCATGCAAGTGCAAAAATTCTTCACTCACTTTTTCTCACCGTTCACTAGACTAATTCCCATTAGTCTCCGCCGGCGCCCTAAGTTAATTCGCACTTTAACTTACCCTTCCCTTTCCCCTTCTTCCATTCTTCCCGGCCCGGGTTCTAGACTCCCCGCTCTTTCCACCTCGTTTGTTTCCTCCCTTCGCTTCTCACCTCCTACCCTGTCGTCTGCCTTGCCTGGCAGGGTTTCAAATCCAATCCAATCATAAGAGGCTACATCATCCGTCATTCTTACGCTTTACCTGCCTGTTCCTGAGGTATTTTCCAAGAAGAAAGAAAAAAAAAAAAAGTCAAAAAATCCAAACAACAAAGTAGAAACCTTCTCACGGGCTTCTCTGTATGGGTTCAAGTGGTTCAAACGCTTAACCGTGGTATAACTGGAATGATCACTGCTGCATGTGTAAATGAAATTTCGCCATTGCGTCCAACCCCCTCCCCCTCCCTCCCCCTCCCTTTCTTCCTTCATCCTCGTTTACCCCTCCCTAGAAGTCCATCCTTTCCCCTCATCTTCGTTCGGACATGGATAATAGTTTCAATGGTTAGATATCAATCCCGGGGTTTTCACCAATAAGGTGCTCGTAAGCCCGCCAAACTCGTGATCCCCCCCTCTCCCACGGCATCGTCGCGTTTGCGTTGCCCCGCTAGCTCCAGATTGATTTGCCGGTGGACGTGCACCAGCCAGTCTACGTAGCTCTGGGCCTCGTTGCGGTCTTCCACCAGCATACGAGCAAACTCGTATTCCGCGCCGTCGAGCCCTTGGCGGGCCAACTGGATGGTCACCGCCTTGGAGCCCCGGATGGTCGACAAGTACTGGAGCAGGTTGCGCACTTGCGCATTCAGGTGTGTTTCTAGCACGGGAATGGTCGACGTTTGGGGACTCAGCCCTTGCAGCGAGTTCTGGCCCTCACCGAACAGGTCTTCCAGCAGATTGGGTGACACCTGCGCATGCAGCCACAGCAAACACTGCTGGCCATTGTCCACCAGGTACGCCCCGCCCTCCTCGATTTTCGAGAAGCTGGCCCGCAGTGAGGGGGGCACCTGTAGTTGACCCTGTTCGTTGGGGAACCCATCCGTCGGCTGCATGTTGTGGATGGGGACGATGCGGGGATACAGGTACAAAGACAATTCCGTGCAGCCGATGGAGCGGAGCATCCGCATGTCGTGAATCCGTCGATCAGACGCTTCCTGGCCCCCTACTCGATAATTAGTGTTTGTCTATCTTTTTTTTTTCAGCACGGCAAACGCGGTCTTACCTTTCAGGGCGCGTGACTTGAGGAGACTCAACATGTACATTGAGAACTCCTTCAAATTCTCCGGCAGTACCAACTGACCCGGAGGATGCGAGCCGGAGAAGATCTTCCGATAACCACTGAAAATGTCCACACTCTTCTCCGTAACGCTGGCCCGGATATCTTTGAGGGGCTTGTCCACCGTTTTCGAGGCCGCTGAATTTTATTAGTGATCATCATCACCCAAATAGAGAAGAACATCTTACCCTCTTTAGCAATCATGCTGACTACTGCATCTTGGTCCACAAATTTCATGGTTTCCAGACCGCCCTCGTTGACTGCTGCCACAGTGTTGATACATCGCACTCGCCGCTGACCATTAGCCGAGGTGTATAGCAGAGCAGCCTGGAAATGAGCGTCTAGCTTGGGATTGAGCTTTCCATCGTAGCTGAAGGTCACCCCAATCGCCTTGTCGGCGTCGATGGCTCCAATCTCGAGGTCGGCACCAAACGTGTGTTGCACGAAGTTGCCATGGTATCCAGACACCTGAAGGCCGTTGGAGCACCGGACCTTCATCAGAGCCTGATAGCCCGTCTCGCGCGTAACCGCATGGGCCAGTTCTTGAGACAGCTTGCGGATATCGCGGGGCGCATGGAAGTTGGGGTAGAAGAACGTTTCTCCACCCGTCACCTCGGGAACATGACCTTTGAAACATTAGCAGCCGATGGTGGGGAAGGTGGCAATCAGAGCTTACCGATCGTCGCTACATCCATATATGTGCCGCTCGGCGCTGCGATGAACATATCGACACCGATGCCAGCCTCTGCCAGGTGACCTGCCGTTTCTCTCCAGCCCGTGTGTTCCGTCGTGAACAACTTTCTTTCCCCGTCGGTTCCATGGACCTTGGGATCATCCCGCAGTGAAAGAGCTCCGGGGCCCCATGTAGGTAGGCTGGCAATTGTGCCGATGATTTTACCACCAGTAGGTCTCAATGCAGCGAGAGCGGCATTCAAAGCAGGAAGCAACGCGGGCTGTGGGTTTTTGACACGGGAGAAGATTGTGGGGATTCGTTGTAACAGAGAGGCAATGACATTCCTGTGTCTCATGTCAGTGATATTCACCAGAGTCGCGACCACCGAGGAGCATACTTGGATTCATAGGGATCAACAAACAGTCCCTCGCTGAGAGGGACAAAGGGCTCTTCGAGATCCGTCATCACCATCATTTGAGCTTGGTCAAGCTGTGCCTATGGATTCGTGAGCATATTGTTCGGTTCCAGCCGCGGGAGCTGCACACATACACTGAGATTGTAGAAGTGAACTTCCTTGTCGTAAGTGACAATGCCAACCTTAGCACCCTCGGGGATTCTCCGTGCCGCAGACCCATCGTCCACGTTCTCCGAAGGCTCCTCGCTGTACAAAGCTTCCATTATACCCTTGCATACGCCCTTCAAGAAACCCCGATTGACCGATTCCAAGCTGACGTCAATCAAGAAGAGCCACTGGAGACCAACAGGTTCCTTGTTCCAGTAGTCTTTGGGAACCAGGAACTCGACAGTGCCCATCATCAACTCCGGACGCTGCATGCGATCGACACGGGACCCGGAGGGATCGATAGGCGCGAAGTAGTCCGCCGTTACGTCGTTGGGGAAAGTGCACATATTACAGACGAACTTGTTGCCTCCAGATCTGAATGACATGAACGGATTGATATATGTTCTGCACCGGCGGCATCGCGGCGGTCCGGCGTCGCCAAAATCTAACACGGGAATGGGTTGCTCGCCGGGGTCGAGACGGGCTAGAGGTTGCAGGATCATGCCCAAGGGGAGTGCGGTAGAAGAAAGGAAATCGGATGTCGAAGGGATATTATTCAATGTAAGACGGGCATATTTCGGGGAGGAGTTGCCCTGGTCGTGCGCCACGAAAGGAACCGCTGCCGGTGGAGGAAGGTGCCGTTCCATCGTCGGGTACACATGGTTGAAGTAGTACTGAGCCGGAAGGTCGCGAGACCGAGGAATACTGGGGATCTGCTCTGGATCAATCTTGCCCTGTGTGGGAACGGAGCCTACATCGGCTCCTCCGAGCGCCGGATTCACTGGAGCAGGGATCCCGGCCGCAGGGGAAATAGGACGTGCGGCCTGATTCAGCCCGGTGTTCAGGAATTGCGACGGTGGCGGTATACCGGCTTGAGGGACTGCGCCGAGTGACTGCGAAGCTAAGGTCGACGCTCCTGCAATCTCGTGGTGTGCGTGACGATGCTTCTTCTTCGACGTCCGAGCCCCGCTATCACTTCCAATTATGCCCAACCCACTCATCTGAGATGCCAAACCAGCCATCGCGGGATCTGGAGACACACCTCCGGCAGCCATCGGATCGGCTTGATAGGCGAATTGACCGTGGGGCGGTTGCAGAGGCTG